ATTTTCCTTGAAAATTTTTTTATTATAATGTGTCTATAACGATTAATAAATTTTTTTTTACGTTGATAATAAAATTATCATTTTTACTATTTCAATCAAATATGATTTACTTGATTTAAATATAAATAAATAAATAAATAAATAAATATCAGTATAAAAAAATTTTAAATCCATAAGGAAATAAATATCAATGAATAAATTTTGAAAATATTTAGTACAAATAGGAATTATCAGCATTTGAATTAAAATAAAAATAGATTATTATAAAAATAAAAGATTAAATAATAAAAAACAGTTTTAGTTTTTTAGAGAGATTTTATTATGTAATATAAACTTATATTATACATCACTACACATTACTTATTTCTAAACTCCTATCCGATATCTTAAAATCTAAAATGCACAGTGCATCGTCATTTTCGAAATTATCAATAAAAAAAAATTTCCCAAAAACTTCTCTTTCTTCTAATCAACAAGAAATTCGAATTAACAATTTTAATAAATTTAAAAACATTTGTTTCTACGCTTTCAAAATTTTTTTTTTTTTTTTTGAAAAAATAAATTAGAATATTTTTCGAGTATTATATAATAATTTAAAATTAAATATAAATGGATTATCTAGTCGAAACTGTAAACCCGAAAAAACAACAATGTGTTATTTAAAAAAAATCTTTCCTTATCTAAATATTCTTTTGTTGAACATTCTCATCTTATGAACAGGACAACATTTTTTCGTGTGAATATTATCTAATTAAAATTCTATTGCAGCTCGAGAATGTTCGACGCTAATTTTTCTATAATAAAAGGAGAAAAGGAAAGGAAAAAAAAAAGAATTTTTAATATCGATTAAATTTTTAGGGCAAGTTTTTTTTTTTAAATGAATAACGAATGAACCAAATTTCTGGCCCCTTTTTTTTTGTTAGCGTCGATTATACAAGGTTTTCTTTTCTGTTTTCTTTTTTTTTTGGTTTTTTTTTCTATTCCAAGTAACGAATTACCAATATAAGCGTTAATCATTAATTTAATATTATTATTATCGTTAAAATTAATCCTAAGATATAATACCTAGTACATACCTGATGATATTTTTTTGTAAAAACCTCCAATACACTTCTTTATGAGAAAGACATGTTTTTCTCGTTTTTATATAACTTTTACAATGAGACAAGAAAACGACATTAACTTGAGAAAAGTGAATTGTTGAGAATTTTTATTGCAAAGTTTATTTCTTATTTCTTTTCTTTTTCTTTTTTTTTTAAGTAAGAGGAAAAATTGTATCAAACAGCGTACGCGCATTTTTCAAGAGAATTTTTTTTTTTTAAAGAAAAACTTTCTTAGGATATAAATATCTATGTTTATATAAATTGTAAAAGTAAATTATTTAGTTGGAAAAAGAGATTTTTTTTTATTAAAACTTTAAAAGAAAAAAATAAAAATCCTAGTTTGATTTTTGAATTTAAGCAAAAGAAATTAGTTTTAGTCGGAAAAATTTGTGTAGAAAGAAAATTTTTAAAGAAGTCAATTAATTTTTTCAAGCAGAATAAAATTTTTTTGACAAACAAATTTTTTTTTTTAATTAAAACGAAATTTCTTAAAGAAGATAATTATATTTTTAAGTAGAATAAATATTTTTAGTCAGACAAATTTAATTTATAAGTAAAGCGAAAATTTTTAAACAGCATGCATTAATTTTTAAGTAGAATAAGCATTTTTAGTCAGACAAATTTTATTTTTTAATAAAATGAAAATTTTAAAAACAGTCTGATTTAATTTTTAAGTAGAACAAACATTTTTAGTCAGAAAAATTTCAATTTTAAGTAAAATGGAAATTTTTAAACAGTATGCATTAATTTTTAAGTAGAATAAGCATTTTTAATCAGACAAATTTTATTTTTTAATAAAATAAAAATTTTAAAAACAGTCTGATTTAATTTTTAAGTAGAATAAATATTTTTTGCCAGACAAATTTAATTTTTATGTAAAACAAAAAATTTTAAACAGCGTCTATTAATTTTTAAGTAGGATAAGCATTTTAGGTCAGACAAATTTTATTTTTATATAAAATGAAAATTTTTAAACAGCCCTATTTAATTTTTAAGTAGAATAAGCATTTTTAGAAAGTCAAATTTTATTTTTCGGTGGAAAAAAAAAGTTTTAGGTTCGAGAAGATTAAAAATCTTTTTTCTACTTAAAAATAATATTTACTACATGAAAACATTTTTTTTTCTAATAAATACATTTATTCTGACTTAAAACGCGTTTTATACTTAAAATCGCTTTTTCCATTATAATTTTTTCTTTGTAATTGAAACTAAAAATTGTCTGACTAAAACTCTATTTTTCTACTTAAAAATAATTTCTTTCACAAGGATAGTTTTTTTCTGTTTAAAAATAATTTGTGTCTGACTAAAAACGCGTTTTCTACTTAAAAACTATTTTTCCCACAAATAAATTTTTTTTCTGCTTATAAATAAATTTTGGCTGACTAAAAACGCGTTTTCTACTGAAAAATTATGTTTTCAGCACAGAAAATTTTTTTCTGCTAATTAATAAATTTTTGTCTGACTAAAAAAGCGTTTTTTACTTTAAAATATTATTTTGGGACCAGAAACTTTTCTTCTGCTTAGAAATAATTTTTGTCTGACTAAAAATTCGTTTTCTACTTAAAAATAATTTTTTCCTTTAAGAAACTTTCTTTTTCTTTACAAATAATTTTTGTCTGACTAAAAATTTGTTTTCTACTTAAGAAAATTATTTTCAGCACAGAAATTTTTTTTCTGCTAATTAATAAATTTTAGTCTGACTAAAAACGCATTTTCCACTTTAAAATATTTTTTTGTGTCAAGAAACTTTTCTTATGCTTAGAAACAATTTTTGTCTGACTAAAAATTTCTTTTCTACTTAAGAATAATTTTTTCCATAAAGAAACTTTCTTTCTGCTTAGAAACAATTTTTGTCTGACTAAAAATTCTTTTTCTATTTGAAAATAATTTTTTCAGCACAGAAATATTTTCTTTACTAATTAAAAATTTTTGTCTGACTAAAAACGCATTTTCTGCTTAAAAATAATATTTTCAGCACAAAAATGATTTTTCTACTAATTAAAAATTTTTGTCTCACTAAAAATGCGTTTACTACTTAAAAATATTATTTTCTGCATATAGAGAGAAACGTCCGACCAAGAATATTCTTGCGACTTAAGAATTGAATTTGTCTAGCGGAATTTTCACGAGGACAAAAAAAACTGTTATTTTGCTTAAAAATCCAAATTCTCTTGCTAAAAATATTCTTTCTACTTAAAAATTAAATACGTCTGGCTAAAAATCAGTGTTCTATTAAAATTTAAAATACAAAAAATTTCAGATTAAAAGTTTCAAACAAAAGTTCCTTGTTAAAAATAAAATTCACTCCATTAAAATTCACAGCTCAAGCTTTAAATCAAATTTTTCCCTTCTAAAAATATTTTACACTCGACTGAAAAATTTCTTTACTATTAAATTTTCTCCTAGAATAAACAAAATATTAAATTACTCAACAATTTACTTTTCCTCACAATTCCTATTTAAATATAGGTAGAAAACACTGTTTATTGAAACATAGATTAATGTCGTTCTTAAAGATTGTCCAGTGAGTATTGAAACCTCGAGGGATTTTTTTTTTTTTTTGATAATATTTTCCTCTTCCCTCGTTATTTTTTTTCATTAGCTCAAAAAAATATCCCCTTTATGTTTATATTTATATATTTATATAAAGAATCGTCATATCTCACAAGAGGAGAATTTTTTTTTCGCAAAAACAATAATAATCATTGTTTTTTCTTTCCCCTAAAAAAAAGAAGATGTGGAAAATATTAGAAATCTTTTCTTTCTGCTCTTTCGGAGTTAGAATAAAAGAAATATTTGGTTGTATAATTAAATTAAATTTTTTGGTTTTTATTTGGTTTTTCGAACGCTATAATGATACAGTTTTTCCAAGAATATCAAAATTGAGACAAAAAATGAATCAAAATGTTGCGTTTGCAACATTTTGATTCGTTTTTTGTCTCAATTTTGTCTCAATTTGTCTCAATTTTTTGGTCTCAAATTTGACTCAATTTTTGTTTCAATTTTTTGTCTAAATTTATGTCTGAATTTTTTTGTCTCAATTTTGTCTCAATTTTTTTGTCTCAATTTTTGGCTCAATTTTTTTATCTTAATTTTTGTCTCTATTTTTTTTGTCTCAATTTTTTTGTCTCAATTTTTGTCTCAATTTTTGTCTCAATTTTTTTGTCTCAATTTTGTCTCAATTTTTTTGTCTTAATTTCTGTCTCAATTTTTATGTCTCTATTTTTGTCTCAATTTTGTCTCAATTTTTGTCTTAATTTTTGTCTCAATTTTGTCTCAATTTTTGTCTCAATTTTTGTCTTAATTTTTTTTGTCTCAATTTATGTCTGAATTTTGTCTCAATTTTTTTGTCTCAATTTTTGACTGAATTTTTTTATCTTAATTTTCGTCTCAATTTTGTCTCAATTTTTTTGTCTCAATTTTTGTCTCAATTTTTTTGTCTCAATTTTGTCTCAATTTTTTTGTCTTAATTTTTGTCTCAATTTTTTTGTCTCAATTTTGTCTCAATTTTTTTGTCTTAATTTTTGTTTCAATTTTTCTGTCTCTATTTTTGTCTCAATTTTGTCTCAATTTTTGTCTCAATTTTGTCTTAATTTTTGTCTTAATTTTTTTGTCTCAATTTTTTTGTCTCAATTTTGTCTCAATTTTTTTGTCTTAATTTTTGTCTCAATTTTTTTGTCTCAATTTTGTCTCAATTTTTTTGTCTTAATTTTTGTTTCAATTTTTCTGTCTCTATTTTTGTCTCAATTTTGTCTCAATTTTGTCTTAATTTTTGTCTTAATTTTTTTGTCTCAATTTTTTTGTCTCAATTTTGTCTCAATTTTTTTGTCTCAATTTTTGTCTCAATTTTTTTGTCTCAATTTTTGTCTCCATTTTTTATGTCTCAATTTTTGTCTCAATTTTTTTGTCACAATTTTGTCTCAATTTTCGTCTTAATTTTTTTGTCTCAATTTTGTCTTTATTTTTGTCTTAATTTTTTTGTCTCAATTTTGTCCCAATTTTGATATTTTTGGAAAAACTGTGATAAATAGATGATTTTCTATAAATCTTAATTTCTCTTTGGCATATTTTGTGATGACTATTTTTTGCTTTTTCGAAAAGATGTCGAGTGTTTTTTTATTATCTATTTTTAAGTCTTTGGCTTTAAGGAATAAATTTTGAAAAAAAATTTGTGAAAAATCTTTTTTTTCATTTTCCAATTTTGAATTTTGGGAAAAGTTTTAGTACAATTTGCAATTTAAAGAATTCTTTCGCAAATTCTTTTCTAAAGTCAAACATTGGATTCTTTTTCGAAACAAACTTCTTTTTTTGTTCCTAAAATAATTTTTTCTTGTTCCTTTTCTTTAAGGAAAGAAACATATTTGTTTTTTCGGGAATTTTTCCCTTTAAAAGGTTTGAAAAAAAAAAATTTATTTTTTTTCGAGACTTGTTTTGAATATATTTTCTTCTTTTGATTTTTTATTGAAAAAAATTAATAGTTTGAGGGGGGTGGGGGAGGGAGGGAGGGAAAATACTACCATCGATGAGTATCGGCGAAAGATTGGCTACTCTCGTGACATGGATTTATTCCACTGCACCATTTGGTTTCTTTAAGCGGCGGACAACGAATTCCACCTCGGCGCGGTTTTATGACAACTTTTCTTGTCCTTTGGGTTTCGCCAACACCACAAGTTCGACTGCAAGCGCTCCAGGGACCCCATTCGCTGACCTTGCAGTCCCTCGGCAATCCTAAAACATACACGATCTCTTTTAGTCTCTTCGTCGTCTTCAACTTTTTTTTTTCCTTCTCCTTCTCCTTCTTCTTTTTCTTTTACTTTTTTATTTTTCATTCGCCAGAATCCACTAATCTTTTTATGACCAGACGCAAGTTCATTCACTTTCTCTCCTATACACACTGGGAGAGAAAAAACCGCAAAAAAGTTTTTTGTTTGCAAGTTTCATTCATTTTTTATTGTGTCGGGGGACAGGAACAGGAAACGAAAATGAAGAGAGGTGAAAAATAAATAAGAGAGCTGCTTAAATAAATTAAATTATACCCTGGACTTTGTAAGAAAAGTTTCCATATTGTATGAGAAGCGACTTGAATTTTAATGAAAAGAGCATTTGTTTGTCTGTTTTTCCTGTGCGGAGCGCGATTTTTTATTTCTTCTCTATTATTTTTGCATTTTTTTTCTTTCCTTTACTTTTTTTTTTATTATTTATATGGTCATATATATAAAGACATGGAAATCTACTTTATACCCTTATACATTTTATAACATTAAGTTTTCTTCTCTTTATCTTTGTCTCTGGTATTTATTATAAATACGAGAAAATAAATAATTAATGAGGGATAGAAGAAACTTTTTTTTATTCGTAACTTTTTTTTATTCGAAAAAATTGATAAGGTTTTTTCGATGGAAATCAGGAAAATATTTTTTACTCTACGTTTAACTATTTATAATAAAATATTCACAAATATATTTATTATTTATTACAATTCCGAGAAAGTCAATAAAAAAAAGAGAGATAGAATACATTTTTACGTAGATATTTCAGAAAATTGATTCAGTTTTTTTTTAAATCGAATTTTTCGAAAATTCACGAACGTTATAAATAAATAACAATATTTATCACAAGAATTCAATTATTTTCAAAATTAATAAAATTATTATTCGAAGAAATTCAATTATTTTCAAAAAATTAAAAAAAAAAAATTGGCAACATTTCAATTTCAGTAGTAAAATTCTTTGACAAAATTCAATTATTTTCAGGAATTTTAAACAAAAATTGAATGCAAAATTCAATTATTTTCATAAACATTTAGTATTTATCACAAGAATTCAATTATTTTCAAAAATTTTAATAAAATTCATGACAAAATTTTTATTATTTTCAAAAATATTTCTTAATTTAATGACTTTTAATATTCTACTATTTTTATAAAATTCCCCAAAAGAATTCAATTATTAAACAAAAATTTTGATAAAATCCTTCACAAGCATTCAATTATTTTTCAAAAAAAAAAAAAGAAATTTCACAGGAATTCAATTATTTAAAAACAATTTTAGCAAAGTTCTACACAAATATTCAAATATTTACTAAAATAATGAAAATTTCAAAGAAATTCAATTATTAAAATAGAATTTGCAAAAAATTTTTCTGAAAAAAATCAATTATTTTAAGAATTAATAAAATTCTTCGAAAAAATTCAATTATTTTCAAAAAATCTAAAAAAATTGTCAACATTTCAATTTCAGTATCTACATTCTTAGAAAAAATTCAATTCATTTCAGGAATTTTAATAGAATTCATTGCAAAATTCAATTATTTTCAAAAATAATAATATTCATGACAAGAATTTAATTATTTTCCAAAATTTTAATAAAATTGCCATTATTGCGATCGAATTTCTTTTGTAATTTTTTTTACATTATAAGGTTTCTTTTGTTAAGGACATTTTTATCCGTCCAAATTTAAATAAATAAATAAAATTCATGACAAAATTTTAATTATTATCAAAAATATTTCTTAATTTAATGATTTTTAATATTTCACTATTTTAATAAAATTCCCCAAAAGAATTCAATTTTTAAACCAAAATTTTGATATAATTCTACACCAACATTCAATTATTTTTTTAAAATAATGAAAATTTCACAGAAATTAAATTATCAAAAATAGAATTTACAAAAAAAATTTTCGAAGAAAATCAATTATTTTCAAAATTAATAAAATTCTTCGAAGAAATTCAATTATTTTCAAAAAATCAAAATAAAATTGTCAACATTTCAATTTCAGTAGCAAAATTCGTCGACAAAATTCAATTCTTTTTAGAAATTTTTAATAAAATTCATTGCAAAATTCAATTATTTTCAAAAATTTTAATAAAATTCATCACAAAATTTCAATTATTTTCAAAAATATTTCTTAATTTAATGACTTTCAATATTTTACTATTTTAATGAAAGTTCCCAAAAGAATTCAATTAATAAACAACAATTTTGATAAAATTCTACACAAACATTCAATTATTTTGCAAAAAAATAAATAATTTTGCCAGGAATTCATTTATTTAAAAACAATTTTTGCAAAATTGTACACGAATATTCAATTATTTTCTAAAATAATGAAAATTCCACAGGAATCCAATTATTAATATTTTATTATAGAATTTTTCGCAATAATTCAATTATTTTTATAAACAATAAAAACTCATTGCAGAATTTTTATTATTTTTAATACATTTTTAATCGAATTCCTCGAAAAATAGAATTATTTTTTATTTATATATTTTTAAATATAATTTTAAATATTTTAATATTTGTAAAATTAATAAAAATATTTTGAATAGAAATATTCTTCCGTTCTTCAATATTTCGAAAAATTAATTGACTGAAATGAAAAATATTGTACATTTATTTAATTAAAAATTATTTTTTACTCATAAAAAACAATAGTTTGTAATTGAAATTCAAATTTTTACGTAAATATTCAGAGAAATTTTTTTTTTTTACTCTAAAAGTTGTTACTATTAATATTATCGTATTGACAATTATTGGAGATAATTATGGTAAAAAAAACATAAGAATTTGAAGAGGAAAAATTTCTTCTTGAAGAAAAATATGGGGGAATTAAATTAAAGAGAAAGTATTGGCACAAAAGGACTCTTTGATCGAGCACACGAAAAAAACATGTTCAATGAACAGTCATGACGGAAAGCTCTCATTTAAATAAACCAATTGAAATTCATTTACAATTGAATTGAAAGCAAAAGTTCAAAGAGAAAAAAAGAGGGGAAAAATATGAAATATAAGAGGCAATGTTTTGACTTTTATATAAATATTCTGTTTACGCTCTTATTAAAATACAATTTTTTTTGTAAGTTTCCGAAATAAGCAAAATAAGCAGTTTTTTACAAATTTCAAATTTTTTTTTTATTTATAAAATACGAAATTATAATATTGGAGAAACTTTTACTTCAACTGTCAGATTATTCCTTAACAAAATATAAAATTCGATTGATTCGCAAGGTGAAACAATTTAAAAAATTAAAATTTGTTTTTTTTGCAGTAAAAAGTAAGTTTTTTAAATTTTAATTTGAATTTTAGTTTAAAGCAGCTGAGTCTTTGGTAAAATATTTATTGTTTTATTCAAATGAAAAGTGAATTTATTAAAATAGGGTTTAAAAGTAACTCGAGTCGTGTTATTTTTAGTAAAAGTTTTGTGAATGGCTCTATTTTCAGTATAAATAGTATAAATAAATAATAGTATAAATGTAAATAAATAGTGTTAATAAATAGTAATAAATAATAATAAATAAATAAGTAAATAGTAATAATAAATAAATAAATAAATAGTAATAATAAATAGTAGTAAATAATAATAATAATAATAATAAATAGTCATAAATAGTAAATAAAAACGTATTTTCTGACAGTTTCTATTTTTGTACAAACAGTGAAAAAAAATCGCTTTCGTAAGCGAATATATTTTTCAGTAGTACAAGTCAATGTCAGAAAAGTAGAAATCCTTCTCTCAAATTAAAGAGAAAATTCCCCACTTTTATAAAAATATCCTCATTAAAAAAATAATGTGAAATATATAACTTTGAGAGCTGAAATATCTTTTTAAATTTTTTTGAAAAATTTCTCTTCTTTCTTCTTTGCAATGGAATGACTTTTTTTAATATTGTTTTTTTCTCGTTACGTAAATGAAAAGAAAAAAGGCAAAAAAAAAAAAAAAAAAAAAAAAACACAGAGAGAAATGAAAAGTAAGAAACTGGTACTATTTGAGCTGCTGTTCGAACTGTCTTACGTAATTGACGAATGTTGGTTGGATTTAGAGATAAAATTCACTTCCACCGACTAAACTTTCTCGTTATTTCAAGAGAGACTTACAGTTCTTAAGATATTCCGGAATAATGTATTACCGGCTAAAGAGAACTCGGGAGTACGCTTCTCTAACTACTTTCAATTAAAGTCAGATTTCATCCTTCATTAATAAATTAGTAATAATATTTTATCTATTTAAATTTTAAATCTTCAGCTCTCTCTCTCTTTTTCTCTCACAAAGAATAATGTGGGATCAAAGTTTAGTATATAGTATAGTTGGAATATACCACGTTATTATATTACTACCGTTATTCTATTATTAGTATTTTAACATTATTATTATTATTAATTAAATTAATCTTCATATTTTTTCGTTCATTCTAATGCGTTTGTTTTTTTTTTCTTTAAAAAATTATTATTATTATTATTATTATTATTTTTAACTATATTATTCTTTATATCTTCAATTTTCATATCTTCAAATCAAATTCGTTACTTTGAATAAATAAATGGAAAATAATATAAAACAATAAATAATATTTATTAAATTATTAACTATATTAATCTGCGTATTCTTTCATTTTGTTTTTTATATGCTTTTTTCTATAACAAATTTCGTTTGACTGATTTAAATTATTATGTAAATTATTCTTCTTTTTATTTATAAAAAATACAAGAAAATTGTTTATTGTCAGAAAAATTTTGATTAAGAAGTAGGAAATATACCGATTTTATGCATAATTTTTATTTCTCAATAACAATATTGTTTACAAACTCATTTTTTTCTTTTGGGAAGAAAAACATAAGATATTCCCGTTTCTTAATATTTTTCTAGAAAATTCTCAATTTTCAATAAGGAAATAATTTGCATCAATTCTATTTCTTAATTTCAATTGTTTTAATAAAATTCAATGTTTTTTTTAAAAAAAGAAAAAAAAATGTTTAGAAATTATAATTATTTGTCAATTAGAAAATTTAATTGAAAATGAAACTGAAAATTTTTGAATTTTTAGAAAATAAAGGGAAATATTTTATTGAAAAAAAATGTTCTGTTAAATTTATTTACGAATATCTTTAATTGTGAAATTATTCGAAAACAATAATTTCTTTTTTAAATATTTTAAATATTTAATTATTATTATTTTTCCGTAGGAATTAACCCTAGAAGGAGTACGTTAGTTTACTCACCCTCTAAGGAGTAACTGGGGTGTCCCGACACCCCACGCTTTAAACTTGTTTTATAAGGATTATATTTGACGTAAAAAAAATTTATTATAATGAATTGATTGGTTTTTTAGTAAGGAATTCAGTAATATTATTCATATTTTGATAAATTAAAAAAATTTTGAAGAAAAACCATAAAAACCCAAAAAAAACACCAAAAAATTGCAAAATTGACTTTTTTCACAAAAACGTTGTAGTTTCTTAAAAATTTGACTAATTTTAAAACTATTTTAGGTTTTTAAAGTTAAATAAATACACTTTTAGGGGAAAAAATTAGTTTTTGTATTACTTCCAAAAAACATAATTATTTGAACATCTGAAGTGAATGAAATTAAAGACAATTGACGAATAGTGAAAATCATAAAAATGAACTATAAAATGGACTTAAACAATTAATATTTACTAAAAATGGTATTATAAATTTAAAATTTTACAAACTTAATATATCTGAATATATTAACATTAAAATTAATAACTTATGAAATGATTTTGTAAATTAATATTTAATCAAAGTTTTAATTAACAATTCTTAATACCTCTAATATATGTTAAAATATTATTAACAATATAGAATTTATAATTTAAATTTGACTGTCATTTACTACATTTTTCTGTATTAGAATTTAATTTCTGACTGTAGAGAGAGCACAGAAATTTTTAATAATAATCTTAACTCAAATTTCATAAGTTGTTACAAATGCAGAATGTCTATTTTTCATAAAAATAGAATTTTTGTATAAAAATGTTTCTTTTTTATAAAATACAACTTTTTCATGCATAACCTATCAATTTATACTTTATCAGATGATTTTAACTGATTTAAAACGATTTTTTAAAAAAATTTGAATTTACTTATCTTGCCAATTTTTCTAACGTTAGGGAGTAACTGGGGTGTCCAGACACCCCAGACGTATTTTAACAGGAGATAGAGCTCTTCCTAGAGCAAAACTTTTGGCGGCACAAATAGGTGTCAAAAGATAGTGGTTCAAACTAAATTATCAACAAGTTTTGAGCGTAAAAAAATTATTGGTTAAGCCATGGGAATACTTTGAATTTTGCTTGGGGTGTCCAGACACCCCAGTTACTCCTTCTAGGGTTAAAATTCTTCAAAACATTCAAATTCAAACCTTTTTGAAATTAAACAATTTTAAAAATATTTTTTATAGTAATTAAAGATGTTCGAGAGATAAAATAATTATTTTATATTATAAGAATATTGTTACTGTAACTTCTTAAAAATTATTTTCTTATTCAATTATTACTTAAAATTTTAACTAAAATTCATTTTTAAATCGATTTTTATTAGAAAATTTTACGAGAATTGAACTAATATTTAAATACAAAAGTAAATTATTTATTGACTAATTAAATTTTTTGTTTTAAATTTAATTCTCATAAAGAATTTTATAAACAAATTTTTAAATAATTGAATTCTTTTGACGAATTTTAATAAATTTTTCAAGAATAGTCACATTTTTCAAGGAATTCGATTAAAATTGTATTAAAAATAATTGAAATTCTGTGATGAGTTTTTATTATTTATGGAAATAATTGAATTTCTTCGAAGAATTTTATTAATTTTGAAAATAATTTATTTTTTTCGAAAATTGTTTTTGCAAATTTTATTTTTAATAATTGAATTTCTGTGAAATTTTCATTATTTTAAAAAATAATTGAACATTCGTGTAGAACTTTGCTAAAATTGTTTTTAAATAATTGAATTCCTGTGGAATTTTTATTTCTTCTTTAAAAATAATTGAATGTTGGTGTAGAATTTTATAAAAATTTTAGTTTAATAATTGAATTCTTTTGGGAAATTTTATTAAAATAGTGGAATATTGAAAATCATTAAATTAAGAAAAATTAAAAAATATTTTTTAAAATAATTGAAATTTTGTCATGAATTTTATTATTAAAATATGTAAAAATAATTGAATTTCTTCGAAGAATTTTACTAATTCTGAAAATAATTGATTTTATATACATATAATAATTGGGATTTTGAATTAATAAAATTTTTCAAAAATTGAAGTTCTTTAAAATTTCTAATTAAATTCATTCAAAATTGAAATTTTCGTTAATTTCAAATTGAAACCGTTTGAAGTTAATTTATTTATAAAAATTGTAAACGCAACTCTTTTAAAATTAAATTATTTTTCAAATATTTGAGTAAAATTATTCATTTAATAATTTATAAGTAATTATTTTATAATAGTTCTTCAAAAATTAAGTTCTTTAAAAAGAAATAATTATTGTCGGAAATTGAAAAAATTGAAGGTTTTGTATTAAAATTTGTGGTAATTTCATAGTTTATAAAGCAAACAAAAAATGACACAAAGATTTAGAATTTTCTTATGAATTCTAAAAATTTAATTTTTTTATAGTAATTTTAATAAAAATCCCTGAATTTTCTTTGAATTCCCTGTGTCAGAATATACGATTATTATAGTTATAATAATATTAAAACTATATTCCAATTCATGTTTTATTTTTATGAAAATAAATTTGAATTAAAAATTTTTACGTTGTATTATTTTTAAAAATGCTAATTTCATTAAAAATTTTATTTAAAAATTTTTTTTAATTTTATTTAACTAATATTATTTCTAATTTCTAAACTAGTTTTTGCTAGTCTAATTGTTGCTAGTTTCATATTATTGATACTAATTTTTATTGAATTATAAAATAATAAAATAATATCAAAAAGAAAAGAAAATTATAGAAAATGTATTCCTCTTCTTTTTTTATCATTTTCGTTTTCGGCTATTTTTTTTTAATGATAACAAAAACTCAAAAAATATGAAAGTTATCCCCCCTGATAATTTATTTTTCGAGTTTTTATTTACTATATTTCATTAAAACTTCTATTTACAGTCGCACCGAGTAAATTTCTCTCTCTGTTTCTAAACTTAAATTACTTGAAAGAAATCTGTTAAATAAATAAAATAAAATAAATAAATTAAATTACTGTCAAATAAATTTTAAGGAAAAATGAAAACTCACGTGTTCGAATCCATTTTCCCTTCGTGTATTTGTGATGCTTTGGCCTAAATCTATGCTGATGGTCTTTGATATTGGTTGAATTTCGCCAGGGATGATTGGTGGCTGGAACGCTTGTGACGTTGCTGGTGATTTTCCTTTGAATATCCTCAAATATTTGCGCCTTCTGCGCGTCTGAGGAACTGTGATATGGTCGATAATATGACCAGTTTCCGATATCATCGAGCTTTTTCGTTTCTTTCGTTTTCACCGGCGATAGCGTCGATGTCGCTGTAAACCTCGGTCGTTGTAAAGCATACGATGAGGCAATACTGTTCATGATAGCCGCCTTCTTGTCGCTGGGTTCACTCGTTAAAAATTTCTCTTTTGAATTCTCCGATGGCCAGTAACTGAAATTTGCAAAGAAAAATAATGATTAATAATAATAAGAAAAAAATAATATTAATAATAATTTCTAATAATAAAATAATTTTTTTATTATTATTATTATTTTTATTTAATTTTTATTTTTATTATTATGGATAATTATAATAAAATGGTTAATTTTACTCAATAATTGAATGTATAACTATTGTTGGTTTGATTAAGAAAAAATATGTGGTTTTCCGAGAATTATCAAAATTGAGACAAAAAACGAATCAAAATGTTGCTTCGCAACATTTTTGCTTCGTTTTTTTTCTCAATTTTGATAATTCTGATTTTTAAAATAAAAAAAAAAAATATTTTCGATAAAATAAATTTGATTTGCATGTGTTTGATAAAGTTTCTTGTTCTATTTAAAAACAGTGAATGACAATTAACTAGAACAAAGTGTTTTTGTCAGTTACATTTCCGTTCTAATAAGGAGAAACATTTTGATTTTAATTTTTAATCAGAAAAAGTATTTTAGTTCAATATATTCTGCTTTTAAAAATAGAAACTCTTGTATTATTCATAAAAAATTTATTTTTGAGTAGAATAAAAATTTATAGTCAGACAAATATTTGTTATAATTTGAGAAAAATATTTTTCTTTTAAATCTTTTATTTAAACAAATCAAATATTTATGATAAAAAAAATTTCTTATTCTGATTACAAAAAATCGGCTGAATAAACCTTGTTTTTTCTACTTAAAAATTAAATTTTGACTTGCGGCTAAAAATATTTGTTCTATTCTTGAAAATATAATTTGGTTTTACTGAGAAACTTTTTCTATTTTCAAATTAAATTTTGTTAAAATACAATAAAATTAAAATTAAATTAAAATTAAATTAAAATTAAAATTAAAATTAAAATTAAATTAAAATTAAATTAAAATTAAATTAAAATTAAATTAAAATTAAATTAAAATTAAATTAAAATTTATTAAAAAAAATTAAATTTACCGAAAATTTACTGAAAATTTAATTCAGAAATGGAAAAATATATTTGACTCGAATACATTTGATTTTTAAATTAATAAAAACTTTTATTCATATTTACAAATCAGTACCTTCCGCTAATATCAATTTATCTAATTATTTTCTAATTTTTCACTAGAAACTAAAATGTACACAATCTGACATGAAATTGATTAAGTTTTTTTTTCTCTCTCTCTGTCTCTCTTTGGCTTTTTCTTGGATAACTCCCGCGTATGTCTACAAAAACTTTTTCCGTGATATATTTACTGCGCAATGCTTGAAAGTTCGATATACTGACAGCTTGGTAGATACGATTGAAATTTCCTATTCTCGACACACAACTTTGACAAAAATCGGGATTAAAATATCATTCTTTCTCTGTATGTGTCATTCAAAAAAATTTCTATTTTTCGTCTATTTTTTGTACAATAAAACTTGAAGCAGACATAATTAATTTTTTTTGCCGTTCCATATTTTTGCCGCTCACAAAAATAGAGCTGAAAAATCGACTTTTAATTAAAAATTTAATTTATTTAACTTTATTTTTTAGTTTTATTTAATTCTTTACTATTTAATTAAATATAATTGAATTTTATTAGGTACCTACATTTATTTTTATTCAACCTATATTTTAATTTATTTCTTTAATTAAAATTGAAAACATTAATTTTCTTACATAGAGGTAAATTAATTAACATGGAATCAATTAATTAAAATTAACAAATTGGTTTTCTTTCCTATAGGGGTAAATTAATTCATTTTAAAATTAGTTAAAATTAATTAACTCCTCCTAATGAATAAATAAATATTTTAAAAAATTTCTATATATTTGTTTTGCTATTGTTTGTATTATTAATTTATTAATGATGATAATTGATATTATTTGAAATAAATGAGGTACAATTTTTTTTTTTTTAATTGAAAACAATGAAGACAAGTAATATTTATACAATGATACATTGTATACATGTATGAAAGTGCTTGTAGTTTTGAAATATTAATTAAAGAACATTGGTTTGCAAGAGAAGTTCCAGCAATTTCTCGTCATTTTCTGCGTGGGAAATTCCCAGATGTATGAAACCGATTAATCCTTGTAACTACAAACTTCAGCTTGTCGTGGAATAGAGATGAGGGAAAAAAAAAATTTCAATGACAGTTATGATTTACCTGCTTCTTTGTTTCCTATCTAGAGGTGAATTAATTCATTCAAATTAATCAACTCTTTTCTGATCGAAATTTAAAATTTTTTTATCTTTGTTTCTTTATCCCGAGATAATTTTTTATTTTATCTTTATTGTACTTCAGTGAATATTAATATTTTACTATTACTTCCGTATTTTACTATATTTATCATATTTTACTATATTTACTATATTTTACTGTATTTACTATCACAGTAAATCGTGAGGTTTTAAAAAGTGTTGCAGATAAAATTAACACCAAAAAAGATTAAAATAATCAATTTTGGTGTTATTTTTTTTTTTTTTTTTTTTTTCTTCTTCAAAAATATTTTTATTATTTCAATTCAATTATTATTTTCAAAAATTTTTAACTACAATTTTACTTTATATCAATTATTTTTAATAATTTTCGAAAAAGTTCTTTGGCAATTTTCAAAACTACTTGTTTACAATATTCAATTTCACGAAATTTCAATTATTCCTAAATTCTTTAATTTACTGCATATTAGAAAATAAAAACTTGAAATAATATAAAAGAAAATTCAATTAAACTTTTTCAAAAAAATTAATTTCAAAATTCAATTGTTTCTAAAAATTCAAGCTATATTGCTTTTAATATTCAATTATAATCTAAAATTTTAACTGCAATTCATTTTTATGAAATGAAAATTAATTTTTATTAGAAAATTCTACAAGAATTTAATTATTTAAATGCAAAAGTAAATAATTTATTGAATAATTGAATGTTTCTCAAAATTCAATTCTCATAAAGAATTTTAGTAAAAAAAATTGTAAGTAATTGAATTCTTTTTGTCGAATTTTATTAAAAGTTGCATGAACATAATTACTTTTTTTCAAGGAATTCAATTATAATTGTATGAAAAATAATTGAAACGCTGCGATCAGTTTTTGTTCGAAATATGTTTTCAAATAATCACGATTTACGCGCGACTACTAAATTTGCTATCTTCCGCTTTGTCAATAAGCGCCCTCTTTAATACAACGATACTAATATATTTACTCTTCCGGTTTCATCTAGACTAACGCAGTACATTGAGAGTTCTACTTTGTAAATCACACTCGTTATTTTCTTGTATTTAATAAAAGTTTTAAAGTCATCACGTTGCCTTGTTTCCTTTATAATTGTAGCTTCTACCCGCTTGATAGTATTAAATTCAACAGGTTATGGGCCCAGGCTTTTTGTCGAGGGTTAAAGGAAATTAGAGACAATCGCGAGTGACTCGGTAGAAAGAAAGCGTGTGTGTATCAAAAAGTATAAAAATGGCGTCCTCGACCGTAAGAATCGAGACGCTAAACAAAGAAAATTTCGACACCTGGAAAATCCAGATGGAAGCTTTGTTAATAAAAAATGACGCGTGGTGCTATGTTAGTGGGGAAAAAACAAAACCTGCAAACGCAGAAGGAAATGAGGAAGAGGTTAAAAGATGGGAAATAAGTGATCGAAAAGCGCGATCGGACATAATCCTTTCTATAAACCCAAGTGAGTTGAAACAAATTAAAGGCTGCGACACATCGAAAGAGGTTTGGGAAAAACTATCGTCGATCTATGAATCGAAAGGGCCCGCGAGAAAAGCCAGTCTTTTAAAATTATTAATGTTGCATCGAATGGACGACAGTGACGACGTGCGCGAGCATATGCGAAAGTTTTTTGACACAGTGGACAAATTAAGCGATATGGACGTGGACATAAACAAAGATTTGCTGTGTGTCATGCTTTTATATAGTCTTGCTCCGCGATTCGAAAATTTCAGGTGCGCGATTGAGTCGCGTGATGAATTACCGTCGCCAGAAATGTTACGCATAAAAATCGTCGAAGAGAGCGACGCTAGGAAAAGTGATGTGCGAAACATAGGTCAGGGTGCAATGGTCGCAAGACATTTCGATAAACGCGTAAACACTAGTGAGAAAAAGAGTAACACAGTAAGTGCGAAGAAATCTTCGATAAAATGTCACCGCTGTGGCAAACCCGGGCACAAAGCAGCCGAATGCTATTCGCGTATTGGTCCGAATCGAAATTATCAAAAAAACTCTGAAAACGGGAAAATGGCAGACGCCGACGACGTTTGCGTGCTCGCCTACACACATTCGGTTCAACAAGGATTGCAAGCGCTCGAGACAACACGTAGTGAAGGATGGTGCTTAGATAGTGGGTGCACCTCACATCTATGCAATGAAACAAATAAGTTCTCGAATCTTACAGAAGTGTCATCGGAAAAATTAAATCTCGCTAGCAACACGTCCACTCCGATAACGGGAAAAGGTGCCATTCACTTAAACGCGGAAGTAAATGGACAAAATCGAAATTTAAATCTGGAAAATGTGTTACATGTGCCCGACTTGCGCACAAACTTATTATCTGTCAGTAAAATAACAAATAAAGGTTATAAAGTGATTTTCGACGAAAAGAGTGCTAAAGTGATCGACAACGACGGCAAAATACAACTCGTTGCTCCTCGCGTGAACGGATTATATTACATTCGCGAAAGTGAACAAGACTGCAATTCCGCGACTACAATTGCATCGGAAAAAGTTCCTCAAATGTCACAAACTGAAATATGGCACCGTCGGATGGGCCATTTAAATCTAAAGGACCTTTCTTCGAGCAATCGAAACGGAACAGTGCGTGGAATGGACATCAAATCTTCGGAATGTGATTTTAATTGTGACGTTTGTATTCTCGGAAAAATGGTGAAATCTCCTTTTCCGAAAAAGTCGGAAAGACAAAAAACTCTTTTAGAATTGGTTCATAGTGATGTGTGTGGACCAATGAGAATCGAATCATTGGGAAAATCGAGATTTTTCGTGACT